CTTCTGGCAATGAAGACGATGACGACGACTTCGAGGACAACAAAGAAGAAAAGGGCGGACGATCTCGAAGGCGAGAGCGCGGAGAGAAAGACCGACCCCTTCCGCCTCTTCTGGCCCGCGTTGGCGGCAATATTGAGGTATTTTTAGTGCATTTGTTTGCTATTGATATTTACGACTGCATTTGATTTTAACTCATTAGCAAAATATGTTAAGAAATGTTTTGCTATTTTCAAAGCAGTCAATAATAAGTGATATAAATTAGGAAAACATTTGTTAAGACTAAAGAATTGTTTTCAAAGGCATTTTCAAACATTTGATATTTTGTTGAAAGGTTTTGGGATTCAACGCTCGACAAAGGAAAGCATTTTTGAATGCAATAATGCGTTACGGAATGCCTCCTCAGGACGCCTTCAACTCTCAGTGGTTGGTCAGAGACCTGAGGGGCAAATCAGAGAAGAATTTCCGCGCATATGTCTCACTGTTTATGAGACATCTGTGCGAACCCGGAGCCGACAATTCAGAGACATTTGCCGACGGAGTGCCGCGAGAGGGTCTCTCCAGACAACACGTGTTGACACGAATTGGTGTCATGTCTTTGATTCGGAAGAAAGTGCAAGAGTTTGAGCACATAAACGGTACGCTCAGTGTTTTGCTACCCGATCAGGAACTGCCCCAAAACGGAGTGAACGGCTCGGCGGCCATCTCTACCGTCTCGTCCGCTTTGACGACACCCACTGACAGCAAAGCGCCGTCGCCTACACCTACGCCTCCCACCGATAACAAGGAGACCCCCGAAGAACCAAAGATTACTGAAGAGAAAGACGAAGAAAAAGAAGCCGAAGAGACGCCTAAAGAGGAGATTAAAACTGAAGAAAGTGAGAAAACAGAGGAGAAAACTGAAGAGAAACCTAAAGAGGAAGAAAACACTTCTAAACCCACGGAATCGGTTGAAGAGAATGTCGTAAAAGAAGAGTCAAAAGAAGAAGAAAATGAGGAGAAGAAGACCGAAACCGAAGAAAAAGTTGACGAGAATTTAAATAAAGAAAACAAAACAATTAATGGAAATAAAGAATCCGAAGAAATGGAAACGAATGACGAAAACGTGAAAGAAGTAAAGGAAGTGAAAAAGGTTTTGGCGAAACAGAAGTTTATGTTCAATATAGCGGACGGAGGCTTCACTGAACTGCACACCCTTTGGCAGAACGAAGAGAAGGCCGCGGTTCCCATCCGACAGCTCGAGATATGGCACAGACGTCATGATTATTGGCTACTATCAGGTATTGTTAGACACGGATACGGGCGCTGGCAAGACATCCAGAACGACGTGGCCTTCTCTATCATCAACGAGCCCTTCAAAATGGATGTCGGAAAAGGAAACTTCTTGGAGATTAAGAACAAATTCCTCGCCCGAAGATTCAAACTGTTAGAACAGGCGCTCGTGATTGAGGAACAGCTGCGAAGAGCCGCGTACCTGAACCTGACTCAAGACCCGACACATCCGGCGATGGCATTGAACGCCAGATTTGCCGAATTGGAGTGTTTGGCGGAATCGCATCAACACTTAAGCAAAGAATCGTTGGCCGGAAACAAACCGGCGAACGCTGTTCTCCACAAAGTCCTCAACCAATTGGAGGAACTATTGAGTGACATGAAGTCAGACGTGAGTCGACTTCCGGCCACAATCGCTAGAATACCTCCCGTCGCCCAAAGACTTCAAATCTCAGAGAGAGGTATAGTTTGCATATTATTACTGACTTAACATATCATTCACTAATATAACTGTTTCACAGGAATACTGTCGCGTCTGACCGGTCAGCCGCCGCCACAGCTCAATATGAGTGAACTCATGAGTGGACAGACACTTCCGCCCGCCTTCGCTAATCAGGCGCCGCCCCAGAAATGATGGCAATCATTACTAAACAAATAATTTTTAAACAATTCATTTACTATAATACTGTATAACGACATACATTAGATCCCAATCCGTGTTCTTATGTCTTTGTATTGTCTTTTATAAACAATTTTTAAAATATCTTAAATTCCTGAAAATATAACATAATTAGTTGAGTAATCAATTTTTACAGTATTTCACGACTTACTTGTCTTATATATGATATAAAGTTTGGTTTAAATTTATTTTTATGAATATTTCACTAATTATTTCATCGCATAGTTTTTCATAACTTTGTATTATTTATTCACTAATTATTAATTTAATAAATAGTTTTGTAAAT